AAAAGGAGATTGCAAAAAGTATTTAATAAAAGGGTGCCAATAATTGTGGCCAATGTGTTTTGGAGAAAAACATTTATTTCAATGATCCCCCCCCCCCCCCCCCCCGTCCCCCCCCCCCCCCCCCCCCCCCCACACACTTTCAATTCTTTTACTTCAATTTAAGGTTAGATTTTTGGCAAATTTTGAATGAAAGATCAAAAGGATAAACAATGCATATTTATTTTTTACAGCCAGTTTTGATCATATTTACCAGGGGTACCATTAATTCTGAGCACGACAATGAAACCTAAACCCCAAATTGTGACAATGACCTGTGTAAATTTTCTTGATTTAGTCAGATATAAAACAAACAAACAGAGAACTCTTAGGGAAAAACAAGTTTTATATAGAACCCTAGGGTTCTTCTTGACTTTATTTTAAGGAACACCTAAAAAGTTCTATATAAGGAGAAATGGCTTAAATTATTGCAAAATACTTTCATGTTCAACAGGTTATAATTTTATTTATTTTCCTTTAAGGTTATATATAGAACCTGTACTTCTAAGAGTGTGCTGATTATTTAGTTGCCTCATAAAGGCCTATACTGCAAAAACATTGTTAAGGTTTATTGTGCATTTTTAACATATTTTTCACTGAGTGCAGCAAAATAGGCTCAGTGCTATACCAATAACAAGAAATGTTTCTATTTCCACAACAGATATCACTTCATTTTCAGCTACTATTTCTGAAACAACTTCAGGAGATCCTACAACTACAGTCGACACCAATCTTACACCAGATATTTCAACAACTATTGAAATCACAGCAACCAGTGACCCTTCAAGTACAGCAGAAACCTCTAAAACTCCAGATGAAAGTACAACAGGGATTTCCGGTGGAACTTCAGGAGATCCTACAGCTACAGTCGACACCACTCCTACACCAGATATTTCAACAACTATTGAAATCACAGCAACCAGTGACCCTTCAAGTACAGCAAAAACCTCTATAACTCCAGATGAAAGTACAACAGGGATTTCCGGTGGAACTTCAGGAGATCCTACAACTACAGTCGACACCACTGTTACACCAGATATTTCAACAACTATTGAAATCACAGCAACCGGTGAAACTTCAAATACAGCAGAAACCTCTAAAACTCCAGATGAAAGTTCAACAGGGATTTCCGGTGGAACTTCAGGAGATCCTACAGCTACAGTCGACACCACTCTTACACCAGATATTTCAACAACTATTGAAATCACAGCAACCAGTGAAACTTCAAATACAGCAGAAACCTCTAAAACTCCAGATGAAAGTACAACAGGGATTTCCGGTGGAACTTCAGGAGATCCTACAACTACAGTCGACACCACTCTTACACCAGATATTTCAACAACTATTGAATTAACAGCAACCAGTGACCCTTCAAATACAGCAGAAACCTCTAAAACTCCAGATGAAAGTACAACAGGGATTTCCGGTGGAACATCAGGAGATCCTACAACTACAGTCGACACCACTCTTACACCAGATATTTCAACAACTATTGAAATCACAGCAACCGGTGAAACTTCAAATACAGCAGAAACCTCTAAAACTCCAGATGAAAGTACAACAGGGATTTCCGGTGGAACTTCAGGATATCCTACAGCTACAGTCGACACCACTCTTACACCAGATATTTCAACAACTATTGAAATCACAGCAAACAGTGAAACTTCAAATACAGCAGAAACCTCTAAAACTCCATATGAAAGTACAACAGGGATTTCCGGTGGAACTTCAGGAGATCCTACAACTACAATCGACACCACTCTTACACCAGATATTTCAACAACTATTGAAATCACAGCAACCAGTGACCCCTCAAGTACAGCAGAAACCTCTAAAACTCCAGATGAAAGTACAACAGGGATTTCCGGTGGAACTTCAGGAGATCCTACAACTACAGTCGACACCACTCTTACACCAGATATTTCAACAACTATTGAAATCACAGCAACCGGTGAAACTTCAAATACAGCAGAAACCTCTAAAACTCCAGATGAAAGTACAACAGGGATTTCCGGTGGAACTTCAGGAGATCCTACAACTACAGTCGACACCACTCTTACACCAGATATTTCAACAACTATTGAAATCACAGCAACCGGTGAAACTTCAAGTACAGAAGAAACTACTATAACTCCAGATGAAAATACAACAGGGATTCCCGGTGGAACTTCAGGAGATCCTACAACTACAGTCGACAACACTCTTACACCAGATATTTCAACAACTATTGAAATCACAGCAACCAGTGAAACTTCAAATACAGCAAAAACCTCTAAAACTCCAGATGAAAGTACAACAGGGATTTCTGGTGGAACTTCAGGAGATTCAACAACTACAGTCGACACCACTCTTACACCAGATATTTCAACAACTATTGAAATCACAGCAACCGGTGAAACTTCAAATACAGCAGAAACCTCTAAAACTCCAGATGAAAGTACAACAGGGATTTCTGGTGGAACTTCAGGAGATCCTACAACTGCAGTTGACACCACTCTTACACCAGATATTTCAACAACTATTGAAATCACAGCAACCGGTGAAACTTCAAATACAGCAGAAACCTCTAAAACTCCAGATGAAAGTACAACAGGGATTTCCGGTGGAACTTCAGGAGATCCTACAACTACAGTCGACACCACTCTTACACCAGATATTTCAACAACTATTGAAATCACAGCAACCAGTGACCCCTCAAGTACAGCAGAGACCTCTAAAACTCCAGATGAAAGTACAACAGGGATTTCCGGTGGAACTTCAGGAGATCCTACAGCTACAGTCGACACCACTCTTACACCAGATATTTCAACAACTATTGAAATCACAGCAACCAGTGACCCCTCAAGTACAGCAGAAACCTCTAAAACTCCAGATGAAAGTACAACAGGGATTTCCGGTGGAACTTCAGGAGATCCTACAACTACAGTCGACACCACTCTTACACCAGATATTTCAACAACTATTGAAATCACAGCAACCAGTGACCCCTCAAGTACAGCAGAAACCTCTAAAACTCCAGATGAAAGTACAACAGGGATTTCCGGTGGAACTTCAGGAGATCCTACAACTACAGTCGACACCACTCTTACACCAGATATTTCAACAACTATTGAAATCACAGCAACCAGTGAAACTTCAAATACAGCAGAAACCTCTAAAACTCCAGATGAAAGTACAACAGGGATTTCCGGTGAAACTTCAGGAGATCCTACAACTACAGTTGACACCATTCTTACACCAGATATTTCAACAACTATTGAAATCACAGCAACCGGTGAAACTTCAAATACAGCAGAAACCTCTCAAACTCCAGATGAAATTACAACAGGGATTTCCGGTGGAACTTCAGGAGATCCTACAGCTACAGTCGACACCACTCTTAAACCAGATATTTCAACAACTGTTGAAATCACAGCAACCAGTGACCCCTCAAGTACAGCAGAAACCTCTATAACTCCAGATGAAAGTACAACAGGGATTTCCGGTGGAACTTCAGGAGATCTTACAACTACAGTCGACACCACTCTTACACCAGATATTTCAACAACTATTGAAATCACAGCAACCGGTGAAACTTCAAATACAGCAGAAACCTCTAAAACTCCAGATGAAAGTACAACAGGGATTTCCAGTGGAACTTCAGGAGATCCTACAACTACAGTCGACACCACTCTTACACCAGATATTTCAACAACTATTGAAATCACAGCAACCGGTGAAACTTCAAATACAGCAGAAACCTCTAAAACTCCAGATGAAAGTACAACTGGGATTTCCGGTGGAACTTCAGGAGATCTTACAACTACAGTCGACACCACTCTTACACCAGATATTTCAACAACTATTGAAATCACAGCAACCGGTGAAACTTCAAATACAGCAGAAACCTCTAAAACTCCATATGAAAGTACAACAGGGATTTCCGGTGGAACTTCAGGAGATCCTACAACTACAGTCGACACCACTCTTACACCAGATATTTCAACAACTATTGAAATCACAGCAACCAGTGAAACTTCAAATACAGCAGAAAGTACAACAGGGATTTCTGGTGTAACTTCAGGAGATCCTATTACAGCTATGACAGATTCTGCTAAAACAACAGATGATGCCACCACTACAGCATATATAGCGACAACAACAGGTACAATCACGACTTCAGGAATTGTTACCGCTTTAACTACTATGGGTGACACATCTACCAAAAATACTGCCACAACTACAGGAGCTGTCACCTCTACTTCTGCTAGTGTCACAACTACAGGAGTTATTGCTACAGGAGACACCAAATCCACACCAAATCCAGCCTCAACTACAGCTGATGTCACCACTCCAAAAAATCCTGTTATGACTACCGTAACAACAACAACAGCAACAACAAGATCTACTCAGTCAACGACTAAAACCACAACCTCCAAACCTATTATATGTGAAAATGGTGGAATTCCACATACAAACAACCTGGCTTGTAACTGTCTGATTGGTTATACGGGGAGATACTGCAGTAATGTTAACAATGAAATTGCAGTCAAAGGTTTGTTAAAAAGTCTATCAAATATAAAAAATAAATGATTGTATGATTAACTTTTATCTCCACGTCACACACGTAACATGCCAATTTCTTTGGAATTATTTTGCAACAATGTCATCTTCAGAATGAAAATTCTTGACGTTGGGTTTTCCAGTAAGATTGGTCTCATTATTAAAATGTAGTGTATTCAAATCTGAATCTGAATTCAAAGCTGAATGAAGCTGCGGCTTAATAAAACCATAGCTTGAATATTTGTAATTGCATAGAAACCTAGTCACAAAACAATGGTATCTCGACTACATGAGATGGGCAGGAGCCACTTTTTAGTTTTAATAAGTTGTTACATTTTATACTTTCTTAAAAATGTACAAATTGTTTTCTGAAAGTCCTATACTACTTTGTTTTCTTAAAATGTCCTCTACTTTTATTTCAGAGGACATTGAAAGGGCAGTTCAAGTTGCGATTGAAGTGAATGAAGAGTTTACTTCTGATCATGGAGACCCATCATCTAATATATATAATGAATTTGTTGATAATTTCATACTTAAGGTAGGTATTGTGGATTAGATGCCCCCCCCCCCCCCCCCCCAATTTTAAAATAACATAATTTAAAGGTATAGTTTACCAAAATATGAAAATTCTGTCATCATCTACTCACCCTAAAGTTGTTTCAAACCTCTATGAATTTCTATTTTCTACTGAACACAAAAGAAAATATGGGTTACCAAATATTTGATGGATCCCATTGATAATAATCATTCATAAAATAATAATAATAATTCCATAATAATATGTAAGTCAATGGGGCCCATCAACTGTTTGGTTACCAACTTTCTTCAAAATATATTATTTTGTGTTCAGCAGAAGAAAGAAATGCATACAGGTTTGGAACAACTTGAGGGTGAGTAAATTTTCATTTTTGGGTGAACTAACCCAGTTTAAGTAAAGGCCTTAGTCTAAATTGTAAAAGCATAATGAGAATTAACACAAGGAAAGTTATTAACATTAAAAATTCTACAATTCTACCCTTTCATTTTCAATTAATTTTTCTTGCAAATGTGCTTGATCACTTACATATTATTACCCATACATTTGGGGAGTGGATCTAACTGCATATATTTACTAAAAATCAGCTTGGGACCAGTTGGTTAAAAGCAGGGGCGTAGAATTTAGTAGGGACGTGTCCCTACCAATATCCAGTGACACTGATATATCCGTAGCAATAATTTCAATCAAAACTTAAAATATATTTATATATTGTTGTCCCCGTCCCCACCAATTTCAAAATCAAACCTACGCCACTGGTTAAAAGTAATTTAAGTGAAGTTAATTTAAGTGAAAAAGTTAAGTTAACTCTGAGAAAAGCTCTAGCTTTTAATCATTTGTTTGCAGATGCCTCTTTGTTTCATTCATTGTTACCTATGCAGTAACATACATGTTTTAAAAGTGACATAAGTATCTAAGACTTTCACAAACTTTTTTGAACAGTGGAGGTAATTTATTTACTATACTTGAAATATAACAGATACATTTTCATTCTATTATAGGTTGACCCCTTGTATCGTCATATATCTAATTTTGTGAGTGTGGAGAACATAAGTCTAAGGTAATTCATAGCACAAGCTATTTTGTAATTATATTTATGCCCTTATAATGTATGACTAATAGGTCTTATTGCAGTTTTTTTTTTTGTCCTTTCAAAGTGCTGGGGGACCGTTAGTAACACAAAACAGGCATAGAGGAAAAAGAAGCTTGCCTTTGAATGAAAATCCACGAAGGTAACAGTGCAAAATGTAATAAACCAAACATGTATAATAACTTGATTTATTGTTATGTATTATATCCACAATTACAAAATAAACTTAATTATACAGCTTGAAAACACACAAAAAAAAAAAAAAAAATTTAAGGACTGATTTTATATTTTTGTCTTCTCTCTCTCTCTCTCTCTCTCTCTCTCTCTCTCTCTGAATCATATGGATAGTCTGAAAGTTAAGCATGATGCTATTTTTACCATTAAAAATGATGAAAATGCCAACGATGATTATAATTATGTACTCAAAGAGGTGAATGAGACTCTCCAAGACTTAAAAAACATTTCAGGTAGGTTGTCATATGCATTTCATCCCTTTATATATTCTGAAGTTATTAGATGCATTGTTAATCTATGTTTGTCCTTTTTTTTCTATTGTCGAAGACTTAAGTGTAAATACTGCCGCTGCATCACCGACTGAGCTCAATGGTGAGTTTTCAGTAAACTTATTGTGCTAGGGGCAAGAAGAATGGTGCTATTTCATATAGGCTACTGTTAATCAGTTCTGTCATTTCATTGAATTGCATACTCTATGCCAAAACAAAATGCTTATTTTTAAGTACTGAGTGAACTACTGAAATAACGTCTCAGGTTACGAATGTAACCTCTGTTCCCTGAGAACAGGGAACGAGACAATACGTCATCGACGTTATGGGGAACGCCTCAGGCGTGACAGGTGTCTGAAATCACTATCAAATCACGTCAATCACATTGACCGGCGACAGCCCGTGAATCATTAGGTGAAATGATTAACGTGCGACCTGAAAGTATATAAGGGCGCCTTGTATATAAGGGCGCCACCTTATCGTCTGAAGGGACTGTACGGCAGGCAAGCCCCGAGGCATGGCAGGGAGACCTATTGTCTCGTTCCCTGTTCTCAGGGAACAGAGGTTACATTCGTAACCTGAGACGTTCCCTTTCGAAGGGAACTCAACAATACGTCATCGACGTTATGGGGAACGAAATACCCACTCCGCCATGCTGAGGGGAGTGCATGCCCAAAGGCAGTGACAACTGTCAGAACCAGCAATTTCAAATGAAACGCTAGAACCACTCACCGTCAGGTCAAACTGGGCTGTCAGTGACAGCATTCCCTACGGTCATAGCCCAAGCTATAAGCCTCACAGGAAAACCTCCATAAACATGGTTAAATGAAAAGGCCTACCTGGGCCTGCTCAAAGGCCTAGGACCACAACTTCAATTAGAAGGGGTCCCTTCTAGGGAATGTGGCTAGGGAACCCGAAGGAACCCCAGCCCGTCACTATTCAGGGGAACGTACTCACCCCGAAGTGCCACCAGGACGGCCTGACCTGGCGTCAGAGCATAGACACTTAGTCTGGCCACTTCCTGTCTGTCCGAAGACAGAGCCTCTGGACACTTGCCTTAAGTAAGGCATCCAACCCGAGGGACTGCGAAGCTGGCAGTGAACCACTCTGCCCGGATCTCAGAGACGGGATATCCCGGAGAGCATGACTCAGCAAGTGCTTTCCAACCCTTACCAGCGAGGGGAGTTTCTCTACTCGATCCATGGATCTACCCAGTGCTTGTGTTTCAAACACTGAGGAGGCCTGTGAAGGCCTAAGGGCTGATCTAACTGGGAGGCCTCACGAGAGGCCTACGACCGTCTGACCAGACTCAGGAGTCCGCGTGCTCATAGTGACCCTCCGTGAGGGGAGCACATGGTCCGCCTGGTAGGCAAACCAGGCTGTAGGCAGGAAAGAGGTTCCAGGAGGGAACCAGTAGCAGAGAATGAACACTTTAGTCGAGCCAGGGCGCAAGCTCGCCTTCAGCAGCTGCCTGATAAGGCCAGCTGAAATGATAGCAAGAGGCCACTAGCTTCCTGAACCCAGCACCGCTAGGAAACCACTCACAGGGAGGCCTGGAGAGGCCTACAACCTGATAACCACAGCATGTGGGGACCCTCAAGGAGGCCTGGAGAGGCCTACTACCTGATAACCACAGCATGTGGGGACCCTCAGGGAGGCCTGGAGAGGCCTACTACCTGATAACCACAATCCGTGGGAACTCACCTTCAGGGAGGCCTGGTGAGGCCTACTACCTGACCGTACTCACTCAAGGAGGCCTTGGGGAGCCTACTACCCGATAACCACAATCTGTGGAAACTCACCGTCAGAGAGGCCTGGTGAGGCCTACTACCTGACCGTTCTCATTCAAGGAGGCCTGGAGGAGCCTACTACCTGATAATCACAGCATGTGGGAACTCACCTTCAGGGAGGCCTGGTGAGGCCTACTACCTGACAGCCAAAAAATATTTGGGAGCTCACATTCAGGGAGGCCTACTACCTGATAGCAACAGTATGTGATCACCTACAGGGAGGCCTAGAGAGGCCTACTACCCGCTAACTATAGTACGTGGGGAACTCACCCTCAGGGAGGCCTGGTGAGGCCTACTACCTGACAGCCATAATATCTGGGAGCATTTTCTGCTACCCGATAGAAAGTCAGGCTAGCTGTTTAGTTATCTGTCCTTGGGCTTGTCTCCAGGGAGGCCTGGTGAGGCCTACTACCTGATAGCCAATGTAGGTGGGGATTTGCCTTCAGGGAGGCCGGGTGAGGCCTACTACCTGATAACCATCTCAAAAGGGAATTCACCTTCAGGGAGGCCTGAGTGGCCTACTACCTGATAGCAACTGGTAGCTGAGTTCAGGTGACAGTTCGAAGGCGGCCCGCTAAGGCCACCCAGCTGGGGACTCACCTATCCGGGAGGCCCGGTTGGGCCTACTAGCTAATAGCAAGTCAATTCTGCTATAAAGGAACACTGTTGGGAACCATACTACACCAACGTAACTATTGGGCCCACCCACAGGAGGCCTAGTACGGCTAGCTACCTGCAGCAGCTATAAAGTATGTCCCACAATGTTGGGACTCACCTCCGAGGAGGCCTGTTTAGGGCCTACTACCCACCGGTGAGTCAACTGCCCGAACCACCAAGGCCGAACAATTCTCTCGAGAAGTAGCCTATAGCGCCCTCTTGGGGGCTGCTCATACAAGGAGGCCTGCTGAGGCCTACTACCTAATGGCGCAGCCTTCGTTGGCAGATAAGCTGTTTACACAGCGCCTACAGCATCCTGGTGCCTAATCACATTGCCCATGGCAGTGTACTCAGCATAGAGAGCTAATACCCTTAAAACAAGGGGAGTACAACATACGCCACTCTGCCTCAGCGGAGGCCCCAGATAGTCAGGGGCCTACCAACAATGCATGGGCGTCCAGCACAGGGCAATGGTCTGGCTTCAGGGGAACGTACTTCGACCAAAGAAGAAGTAAAGGCTTACTTCATACTCGACCCGAGCCATAGTAGTGCGAGGTAGGATAAAAAACAGAACTGGGAGTGAAACGCTCAGACCTCAACCTGAGTTTACCAGGGTGCGGGCCTGCCAGCAGCTCTAGGGGTAACAGAAATGTATCTGTGCCCAACCTAGGGGAGTGGGGCTTGAATGAAAACCACCCACCTACAACCCAAAGCTTGAGCAGTAGCTCAGCAAGGTGAGTGAAGCCTATACTGGCGGCCTAACCAGTTCTGCACGGCAGGGTCGGGCAGGTTTAAACCCAGTCTTCTTCGTGAAGCGAAAGACGGCCTAACCCTGCTCAATAAAGACATATATACCACGGAGGCCTGTTTGAGGCCTACCATGTCCTATAAACCATCCTCTGCACCACGCTGCATTACTCTAGTCACCCCAGAATGCAGAGAAGGGGGCGGGCCTTGGCCTAACGACTCCCATGGGAGGAGGCTGTTTATACAGGGATGCTAGAAACCTACATTCACAAAGTGAAGGGTCAGAGGAAGAAATGCTAATTTTAGCAGAACGCATCTATTATCCCTGGCACAGCCTAAGCCAGCTACAGAGGCGGCCCTGGTGAGGGCCAACCTGCAAGCATAGATCTATCTGAGGGCTCGGAGGAGCCACAGCCTAATAAGGAATAAAGTCTGTATTATTCGATATAAAAGGATGCAGAATCGCTCAGCCTAATGAAAACCCAAACAGAGCTCAAGGGGCGAAATACTCAGGAAAGTCAAACGGTCCCGTGGGCCGGACTTAAGATCTATCTGAAGCTCTAGCGTCAGTCAACACTCTAAATAAAAACATTTTAAGAGAGAGACCAACTACTCTACCCTGAGGTGGCTAACAGCCCGAAGGCTAACATAGTTATCGTTCTGGCCACCTAACGGGGAACTTCAGGGCCCTGATATCCAATAAAGTTCTCTTACCTTATTACCTTGACATGACCCCATAACTCTTTATACAGGGAACGAGGTCTGTAAAGAGAAATATGTTATTTTTTAATCACAAAAAATACTCTTTGAGAAGACCAGCAGCTCACCTGCGGCGTGCAAAGCGAAGATTCGCCAAACAGTTCTTTACGAACCTGGGAACCGCCACCTTACATGCCTGAAAGGGGCGTTTCCACTAACCAGGCCCAGGTGGGCCATCAGAACATAGTTCTCATCATAGGCCCATCCCCAGGCCTGATGTAATGAATGCCTGGGGGTCAGAAGAGAGAGGGCAGATTTCGTGACCCTCCGGGGAGTCGTTACCCACTACCGACGCTGTGAGCGTTTGTTCTGGATAACCTCCCTCAAATCTCTTCTGTTGCGGGTGTCACGCCTCCTCTGCAACCTGCTCCTCGAGGGAGGGGGCGCACAAGAGGCGACACTGGCTCGCTGGCCCTGCCTACGGTCCTCAGACCGTGAAGGGCCAGGCTCTCCCGCCTGCCTGGGTGCGGACGCGGATCTCAGCGGTATACATGTCCTAAATGCTGCTGAGCGCGCCTTTGCCTCCCTGAACTTCCCCACCACCTCTTCTACAGAGGTGCCAAAGAGTTCGGAAGGCGAAACTGGAGAATCGAGGAGAAAGGTTTTTTCTTTCTCCCCGATGCCAGCTAGATTTAACCACAGATGCCTCTCCGTGGCCACCATCGCCGCCATCGACCGACTGATCGGGGCAGCGGTTTGCTTGGAAGCCCGGAGAGCCAGATCTGTGGTGCGGCGCAGCTCAGCCACCGCCTCAGGGGACATCCCTGCCCCCTGGTCGAGATCCCCCAGCAGGTCGGCCTGGTACGCCTGCAACACTGCCATGGTATGAAGTGCAGCACCGGCCTGACCTGCTGCCGTGTATGCTCTGCCATTCAAACGAGCCGATGTTTTCAGCGGCTTGGATGGCAGGGTTGGAGCTTTCAGTGTCGCTGCCCGCCCAGACACGAGATAGTTCTACGTGTCAATGGGCGGCATTGACACGTACCCATGCTCTCTGATCCCCTCAACATCAGCGAAACTGGCCCGCTGATGTTGGTGAATACGGGCAGAGTATGGGTTCTTCCATGCCTTCTCGATCTCCAAGTGCAGATCAGGAAGGAATGGAAGGCTCACCCGAGCTGGTGGTGTACGGCCGGGGAGAAACCGATCA